TGCCCCCACAGCAGCTCCAGCAGTCCCACACTCCTGCATCCAGGCCACTGAGCCAACAGGGACCATGCAAAGCCCGGGGCGGGCGGGCAGGCGTTCCATGCGGGGCAGCACCCACGGCATTCCCGGGAGCTGGCACATGCACCTCACTGGGGATGGGCACAGCTCAGGCAACTCCCTCCTCCTGCACCCCTCACAGCCTGTGAGCCCTGTCCTCCAAACTCATTGACTCCTACAAGGAGCTGGGAGCAGCACTCCAGGGACCTGCATTTCGCAGCTGCCCTTCCCATTAACTCCTTGGCATCAGGATTTGGTGCCCTCCTTGTTCTGTGCTGGAGATTTGCTGCTGCCAAGAGACTGCCAGGGAATTCTGCTGACACCCAGCAGCTCCAACTAATCCTTCCTTTCCAAGAGAGGAGATTTCCAGCTGCTGGTCACTGATGGGGAGAGAGGGAGCAGAGAAATCCCATTTCCCACTTCAGTGGACTCATTTCCTCAGTTCTGCACAGCGGCTCTGAGGCTTGGAGTGGGAACTCCAGCACAGGGATCAGCCTCTGCACAGGCTCTGGAGTCCAGAGGATCCTGTTAGAAACCCCTGTCAGAAATACCCATGGGAGTGGGAACAGCCCCTGAGGTGTCACACAGCAACACCCTGTGGAGAAGCAGCTCCCACAGCCCCAGCTCACTGCCCAAGGAACGATTATCCTGCAGCAGCTCACTGCTGATGGATGAAGGAAAAGAGAACCACAGGGATTAAAACAAGTATCTCTTTGTTGGAGCTCAACAGCTTCCTAACATATGCTGGGGGTTTTGTTGTTTTATCCCAGATAATGGTGCTCTGTAGCTGCTCTCCTGAGCTTTGGAAAGTTCTGGACAGCTCATCCTTCCATCCTGGTGGTCCCCTGCTTCGCTTCAGGGATTAGAATGAGATGTTAAAAAACAGGCTGGAAAAGGGATCTTGCTCGTTAGAGAAAGGGGGACTGAAAATCACACTCCCCAAAATGCCAAATCACAGCTGTTCACCCAGTTTGGTGATCCTGACCCTCAACCAGCCCTGGACCTGCTCCTGCTACAGGATTTTCAGTCTTTCTAAAACAAGTGGCAGGTTTTTGTCAACAGCATGCAGAGCAATGTTGGAATTGTTTGATAACACATGGATCTCTCCCAGAAATATGGCAAAAAAGGGAAGGATCAAAAATAAATGGATAAAACTTGCAGGGCAGTGTCCTCCCAGTGAGCAGCACAGCATTCTCTGTCACACACACAGGCTGACAGTGAGTGTTAGTGTGAGACACATCCCGTTTAAGCTCCCAAAAGCCAAGTCCTAAAAGCCTCTTTGTGAGGAGAGAGGCCTGTTCACACGGATCCAAACACCCCCAACCTTAGTTCTGGTGATTCGTAGGCAAGTGAGAAACAAAGAGGGGGAACAGCCCGAGTTAGTTGGGAGAAGTCACCCAGGAAAGGCAGACAGACAAGGGGCAGAGGCTGCTGGAAATGCTCACCAGAGCTGATCAACTCGGTCAGGGTCCCTGCAGGGGGAGAGAGAGCTCAGGGAACAGGCAGAGGGAGCAAACAGTGGCAACCAAGGAAGCTGGAAGGTTTTATCCTGCTCAAGGCCTTACACTGTGGTTCAGCTCCTTTCCACCCCCAGGGAAGGGGTTGTGGACGTTTGCTGGGGAGACACTCGTGGTGTGGGTCTCTGCTCACTGGACATGGCAAAGCTGAACACACAAAGACACTCCAGGGACATGTGCAGCCATGTGAAACCCTGAGGCCATTTTAACTCCTCGTGCTGTTGGGGTGACCTGTGTGTATCCAGGCTCTGGGAATTCTCCCGAGCCCAGGCCTAGGGAACAGCCTCATGATAGAAATTTGCACAAGCACAGTGGACATGGAAAAAAAAATCATTCCAATTCTATTTGTTCTTCCCTGGGTTTGCTCAGCTTTACAAGACTAATTGGAGCAAAATATAAACCAGACACGAACCAAAAATGATGTTCATAACTCTTTCTAACTTCAAAAAGCAACAGAGCAGCAGAATGTGGTAACTGCCATTTATTTAAATGCTGGTTCCTGTAATAGTTTTTGCATGTCCAGAAACCAGGAATAGGAATTTATTTGAAATAGAACTTAGAAACTGGAGATTTTCTGGCTTTGACCACGTGGCCTCTGCCTCCTGCTCTTCATTAAGGCCCTGCTGCTGCCTGAGCTGCTGCAGCCTCTGTGGCAACGTCTGGCAAAGAATAATCCAGAAAACTGATCTCACATAGGTGTTCTTTTCAGATTCTCTAGGAGCAAGCTAATGAAGAGTGGAGAATGGTTAGAGAAGGAAAGAAGCAGGTTTACAACCAGCAGTGGGAAGAAGATGCTAATCCTATATTTCATGTAACTCATATATTGAATTACTGAATGCTAAGATGACAAAGCTGTATTTCTTATAAATCTAAACAGCCAGCTGCCTCCAAATCCAGTCTGAGGGGAAAAAGGTGGGATCTGTTTTGGCTGGGGTGGAACAGATACCAAACATGGCTTTTAAATATCTCCTGTGCCTGAAGTGGAGCTGAGCAGGAGGAACTGTTCTGTTCCAAGCTCCTCCTGCTCTGACACCGCTCCCCGGGAGAGGCCCCGTGTGCCCAAAGAAAGGGCCTGGCAGGTGTGAGGGGAGCAGAGCAGCGTGTCCCTCCCCCCTGTGCCCGGTACCTGCAGTGGTGTTTCCTGCTGGCCAGCCAGAAGGCGCTGTCGCAGCCGTAGCAGTGAGCGGCCAGGTGGTCCGGGAGCCACCGCGTCACCTGCAACAACAGCCGGGGCTCAGGGAGGGGCAGTGGAAGCACACCCGTCCTGTTTGTGCTCCCAAAAGCAAAGCCAAGCACCCCGAGGAAGGTGCTTGTTCTGCTGTAAGAGCACAAGGTCAGGGCTGGCAACGGGAGCAGATGCACAGAGCTGTGAGAACAGAGACGCTGGATTCCCTCAGACAGGCAGAAATCAAGCCAGAAAGTCTAATTCCCTTCAGCTAAAGGTGGACATTCCCCAAGCACGTGTCCACCTGAGGCTCCTTTCCTACCCCCCCCTTCCCCAGCTCCCAGTCTGTGAAGCAGAGGGCTCATAGGCACAGGTACTGGTATGTCAGGTGAGACAAGCGGAACGCAAGGAAGAGAGTTCCCAAGAAGTGGCACACGACCAAAGGCCAGAGGATAATTTGAATATCAATATCCCAAAAGGAGTGATTCACAGGGATTTAGTCTGTACCTCTGTGTCCTGTTTATCCACCTGCTCCCAGCTGGCTTCAGAGAAAATCTCTGTGCTGCAGCGAGACAAGCAGTTCTGATCCAGATTGCTTTCCGAGTCGGGGATAGACGTCTGTTGGCAAACAAACACAGCTGAACAGAACCTTCCCATATCCCTGCTTCCAACCAAATAACACCCGGAATCCCCCACAGGTCAGGGGCTGCCCCTCTGGTGACAGGAGGACGTGAGGCAGAGTGGATTTAAAATCCAGTTTCTGCTGCGTTAGCGCAAAGTTCTGGCAAAGCTTTGGGTGATTTAACCAAAACCTGCTCTCTGGGGCTCCAATTCCAGGGTCCTGTTTCCTTTCCAAGGTTGTTTCACTTTCAAAAGTAAAATTAGTAATGCATATATCCTTTTGTTGACAAAGATTCTGGAAAATACAAGCCAAATTGCATATGGGAAACTCAGAATCTGAGATATATATATTCTATATATAGGTTTTGGGGAATAATGCTTCCTTAATATAGTCTATCCAGGTAGAGGTGGATTTTAACAGATTTAAAATTCAGCCAGCCCCTAAAATACAGTAAAATAGCAAGAAATCTTGAGTTAATGTCTTTTGTGCCTGAGGAATAGGCATTTCTGCAGCTCCAGAAGAAAACCTGCAACTCCCAAGCTGAGGCACAAACAGAAGGTAGAGATCAGGTTCTTAAAAACAGGGAATTTTCTGGAGGCACTGCCAGCCCTACGCTGCAGCTTCTGAAGGCCCTTAAAAATGGGAGCAGAATCAATCAAGCCAAAGCAGCCGATTTCTCCAGGGAATCCAAGCTTTTTGCAGCGACGCTGGGCCCGACGGAGCACGTCGTGCTGCGTCTCCAAGGAGAAGAGCCAAGAGGGCTCGGAGGGTTTTTCACAACAAACGTACCTGGGACTATCCAGCACCTCTGTCACTCCTAAACAACAACGAATTCCACAAACCTCCTATGAATATTTATTTTTTTCATTGTTGCAGGCATATAAACCACGTGGGAAAAGGAAATTTCTGATGGGTGTTGCGTCAGCCCCAGGAATTACAGGCAAGTGCTCAAACCCACAGGAAGGTACAATTCTCTACAAAAGTCCCAACTTTTACAACTTTAAACACTTCCAAGTAAAAGCACAAATAGATTAAAAGCTCCCTTAATTTGTTGAGAAAAAAACTCTTGTTGACATAAGGCTGCAGGAAAGCTCGGTTAATTTATGCCAGTTAAGTTCAGAATTCCAGAAATTTATTCCAGTTACTGAGCCTGGAGCATCCTGGCCATCTGAAAGGGATAGTGTGAACCTGATGGGTTTGAGCTCTCAAAGTACCACCTGAACTTGCAAAGCACCAAGGGATCATTCCATGCTACTGTCCCAAAAATGGCACAGATACAGCCTCAGGAAAACGTCTTTGCTCTACATGAAAACAACAGTAAAAGAGGTGTTTGGGTCTTTTAGTAAGGCCACTGAAGGTGTTTGGGTTTTTTAATAAGGTCACTGAAGGTGTTTGGGTTTTTTAATAAGGCCAGTGATGGTGTTTGGGTGTTTTATTATGGCCAATGAGGGTGTTGGGTGTTTTATTAAGGCCAGTGAGGGTGTTGGGTGTTTTATTAAGGCCAGTGATGGTGTTTGGGTGTTTTATTAAGGCCAGTGAGGGTGTTGGGTGTTTTATTAAGGCCAATGAGGGTGTTGGGCGTTTTATTAAGGCCAGTGAGGGTGTTTGGGTATGTCCACCTACGTGTGAGCTGCTGCCAAACACCCACCTCGAAATAAACCTTGGGTCCACTCATGGTCAAACTGAAGTTGGGTGAAAATATTAGTCATTAACTGCCATTTATCAAGTGTTTGCCCTCTTCAGAATGACCTGGAGAGTTCTGTAAAAGCCTGCACAGCCCAGAAATGCCCCCGAGCGCCCGGTGAGCTCCAGACGCGGCGCAGGTACCGCTCACTCACCACTTCGTCTCCGTAGTCCCCGTTGAGCCGCAGGGAGCTGTTGAGGAACTGGCTCTCCAAGCGGCTCTTGAGCTCCTGCACCTGCTTCTTGAGGGTCTCCACCTCCTGCTGGTGCCCCGTCTCGATCTGGCGCAGGCGCTGCTGGATGACGTCGCTGTAGACGGGCATGCCGTCGTCGTCCAGGTGGCTGCGGGCGGGCTGGTCGGGGCTGCCCGCCGGCTTCCCCAGCTGGCTGAGCACCCACTTGTGGTGCAAGTTCCTCAGGTGCAGCTGGGCAGAGCCGCAGCTGGCCGCCGACACCTGCCTGCTGAGCGAGGCCTTGAGCCGCCCGTCCTCCCCGTTCACGCAGTGTCCGTTGCTGGCGGGGAATTTCGGGGGGACGAGCCCCGCGGGCTTCTCCGCCAGCTTGTTCTCGGGCTCCGGCTCCCCGTTACACACGACCTCGTCTTTCCGCTCCGCGAAGGGCAAGGCACAAGGGGAAGGCATCGGGAGGTGCGTGGTGCTGCTACCAGAAGTCCTGTGCACTCTTGTTCCCAGTTTTTGGAGCTCTATCATGCACTCCCCCTCCGGCCTGTTCTCCAGAGTTCGGGACAGCTCGTCGGCGCTGTTGTCGAAGGGGTGAGCTCTGTGGCACGGGCCCTTAGGCAGGAACTCAGGCTTTGCTTCAGTCTCCGTTAAGGTTTCCGTGGAACTTTCGATGTTGGATGTCCTTGCCTCGGGCGGGGGTGGCAGAGGGAAGGGAAGGCCGGCCTGTGCTGTGCTGTACGGGCTCTCTGCTTCTTCGTGTTTCCCAACGCCTTCTTCCTCCGTGTTGTTCTGAGTGGAGCCCTCCAAAGGAACAGCCTGCAGCCCCCTCACCTGAGGTACCTTCTGGAGAGCGCTGCTGGGATCACCATGCTCGTCCTGTTGTCCTCTGGGCTCAGAAGCACCTTGTGAAAGCGGGTGTGGGGCGGGTGTGGGATTGTTCGTTACGATACCTGTGTCCGCCTCGGCCTTTCCCCCGAGGTCACTGACATACCCCCGCAGATTGTCAGCTCTCTTCTCCTTATCCAGGGCCACCTCAGCCCCTTTCCCTGCTGCCTCCGGGCCACCCCTTAAGTGCTCCTCCAGCCCAACGTCATCTTTCGTGGCCTCCTGCAGGATGTTCTCCATCTGTCCCTCTGCCACCCCGGCTGCGACGGAGAGCTCGGCGCCCAGGGGGGCCCTGCCCTGCCAGCCCAGGGTGTCCCCCTCGAAGGGCTCGTCCCCGGGGGGGCCGAGGCTGCTGAGCTCCAGGGAGCGGCGGTGCTCCTGCCACTTCTCGTTGAGGCTGGGGTCGCTGCTCCGGCGGGCGGCTGTAGGCACGCTGCTGTCACAGGCTGTCGGCAGATTGTCGAAGGATCTCGTCTTTGGTAGCCTGCAAAGGCACAGACAATCCCAATCCACAGTCAGGGGATGCTTTTTCAAACATTTAGCTACTGTGGTTTAAAAGCTCCCCCCTCAATTAGGACAGTAACAATCTGTTCACTAATGGGCTTGTGGGAAGCATTATCCAGGAGCACGTTCTGCCCATCTGTAGTGCAGAGCTGCTTCAGGACTTCCTTTGTTTGCCATCAGGAAAATATGCTCAACCAGACTTCAAACATTCCCAGAATAATCCCTTCACCACCAAGCCCAAATGCTTCCAGCCTGGTCTCACCTCCTAATGAACATGTGCTGGGAGCCATTGTACAGAAAAGCAAAGAAATAGTTATGCAACGCCAAAAAAAGAACTCCAATTCAAGATAACTGAAGGAAAGCTTATATTCTACAAGGATATAAGGAATTTTATGTGGCTCTGTGACCCCCAAAGCTTAATTCTGTTTGCCAAGCTTCTCTTTGCCACATTATCACCCCCGAAATGTGACAGCTTCCAAACCCAAAACACCGACAGACTGCACTGGGGCAAATCAGTCCCACATTCCCGCAAATCCACCTGGGAGAAATCCCGCCCTCCCGCCACAAACACTCTCCTTTTATATCCCACAATATTCCCTGTTGATCTTACTTTACAGGAGGGATTTCTGGGCTCTAGGCTCACCTGCCCAGAGGCTGCTCTTCAGGGCTGGAGCCTGGCACAGGGTACGGGGCACAGGAGTCATCGGCGGGCGTGGAGGGGGACGAGCAGGGCAGGTAAACAGCGCTCCAGAGCATTAAGTTCCGCACATGGCACACTGGGTACAGCACCTGAGAGGGACAACACGGGAAAGGGTCGACTGCTGGCTCCCAGCAGGCAGAGGAGTTCAGCCCTGAGGGTGCCAGCGAGCAGTGATGGTGTTTAATCAGCCACACTTGGGTCTAGAATGATCTTTTCTGTCAGAGACAGAGGCAGAACACTGATGGCCTTCAGCTCGTCCTGACTGAACTCCTGCAATGTGCTCTCTGTGAACCTACACCTTCACAAAGCTCCTGAGCAATCTGAACTGCTGTGGAATTCAGTGGCCCACTGTCAGTGCTGAGGTTTCCTCGTGTGTTGTGTTGCACTGTGCCAGTTCAGAGGGAGCTGAACTCGCTTCCAGAGGCCCCAATCCAGCCCAGCCCATCCTGGCTCTAAAGGAGGCACTCACATGTACAAATTCAGTACATGCAGAAACACTTGGAAGAGACACCTCGCTGTTAAAAGGGATTCCTTGACTGTGGAATATGCTTTATGATTCCGTTTAAAAACACCTGGGCTCACGCTAGCAATTCCACTCTTCTCCAAGCAGACTCCCTGTGGAAAAGCAGGCAATGATAGAGGAACAGTCTGCCCCTCCAGAGGATGGTTTGGCACTGACCAGGCTCCCCAGGGCAGTGGACACGGCCCCAAGGCTGCCAGAGCTCCAGGAGGGTTTGGACAACGCTCTGAGGGACAGGGGGGGATTGTTGGGGTGTCTGTGCAGGGCCAGGGGTTGGATTCCATGATCCTTGTGGGTCCCTTCCCACTCAGAAGATGCTGTGATTCTAGGAGCAGTCAGGTTTCCCTGGCACTGAGCAGGGGAAGGGCTGTGGGGTGGCTGCTGCTCTGAAACTTTGGCTTTGTAACAGATGTGGCTGCACCAGAGGCACCTTTTAAAGCCCAAAGCAAAACCACAGAAAGATGAACCCAAGACAGGAAAATACCAAAACTCCCCCACACTGAAAGAATCTCCTTGTTAGCACAGACAGTGTTGTCTTCCCTGAGAACAGGGGCCAAGTCCCCGAGGGCAGCCCAAGGACAGCCCTGTCCACTCCTCCTGCAAGAGCCCTCTACACTCCTGCTGGGCACACCTGCTGGCATTTTCAGGGAAATTTAGATGCATCCATAGCTTCAAACATCCCTCCAGGCTGTGTCTGCCTGCTCTGTCTCAGCACTCCCAGGATGCTGAGTCAGGAGGGAAGGCTCAGAGGGCTCGGTGCAGTGACAGCCCAGAGCTGTGCAGGGCCACAGCCACGGCACACACAGCCAGGAGGGCTCAGGCAATGGAAAACTCATCTTCTCAGAACCAACGTGGGCATAAAACTCTTCCCTACTCCTTAATTTGACTCTAAGAAACAAATAAAAGCCACATCTATCATATGCAAACCCTCTGCACAGTCCTTACAGCTCCCTTTATGACATCTCACACTTTCATAAATAAAAAGGGTTTAAATATTTATACAAGTTCTTTGCAGTCCTAGCCATGATGTCACTTGGTGACTGTGTGTTCCCCTGGCCATGCTCTGCACCCCTCAGTGCCTCACACAACCTTGTATCAGGCACACACTGAGGGAACTGTGAGCCCCTCCCCAGAACATTCAGTGAGTTCTTACCATGGAGCAGCCAGACTGAAAACATGAAGGTACTGAGACAAAGATACACCAAATAATCTGAGCTACTTCTTCTGTTTAGCTTTGGGATGAATTTAGACACAGTGTCTAGGTTTGCAGGCAATTTTCTGTCACTCCTCTGACACAGTTTAGTTCTCTAGAGAGGTCTGTTTATCAAACACTGAAATGTTTTCTGCTACAAAAAATACAGTAAAATATTTAGTTACAGAAAACACATTTCCAGCACGAAGAAATTTCCGAGGTGGCATTTGACAAATATCAGCAAAATTAACACAAGACTTGAAACATCAGCCTGAGCTGAGTGTTCCAAGGTGAATGTCAGTGGGGAAAGCTGAGCTCACTGGTCTGGAAACACCCCTCTGTTCATGGTGACAGTTCAGAGAATCCCAGAGTGGTTTGGGTGGGAAGGGAACTTAAAGATCATCCAATTCTATCCCCTGCCATGGGCAGGGACACCTTCCACAAGACCAGGTTGCTCCAAGCCCCATCCTGGCTCTGAACCCTTCCAGGGATGGGGCTGCCACCGCCTCAGTGGCTGAACCCCGGTTCCTCGTGTCCCACTGTTGGGGTGTTTTCTCAGGGTACCCCCCTCCTTCAGGGGACTGTAGCTGGGAGCCCCCAGGGCTCTCCCTGCAGGGGGAGGGGATACATACAGACTCCGACTGGGAGGAGTAGAGCAGGTTTTTGAAGGCTTTGTTTGCTGCCCGCAGCAAAGACCAGACGGAGCAGGTCCGTTCCTGAGTGTGTTTCTCTCCTCTCTCTTTCGCATTGTTGCACAGGAATGTTCCAAAGAGGCAGGAGTAGGTGTGCTGCACCAATTTCACCTGCACAGAGCAATTCAGACGTGTCAGGTGGCACAAGAGAGCAGCTTCACCCTCCCTCTGCACGGCCAAACCCCCTTCCCAGGGCTGGCACACGATACACAGCATTTTTTGCATACCTCCTTACAAAGGAATGCAAGTGGAGTGGAATCTTTGAAAATCATAACTAAAAAAATTCAGGAAAAAATATAACCTAGAAAGACAAAATATTTGTTCTTAATCAAGTATAAAGGTCACATTGATTCAAACTCACTGCCCTGCAGGACAGGCAAAGCAGAGAACCATGATTCCTGTGCTACAAAACATTAATGCACCCCAGAAACGCTGGTCATTAATCCCTCAGTGCTGTGGGTCCAGCCTAACAAAATGGCTTAGTGTGAGTTTAACTTTGGGCATATAAATGACTTCCTTAGGATTATTCAGATGTTCAAATGAAGACAAGTAGTTCAATACTCCGAAAAATTAGGGGGTTACTCTAAAAAGGCCAGAACAGCACGGGTATGTTCTCTGCCAGCCCCTGGAGATCAGCAGTGTGAAGTGAAGCCAGTTACTACCTGTTGTATCTCATTTCACAACCGAGTTACACCAGGACCGTCCACGGACTCGGTTACATGGCTGAGCTGGCAAGTGGTAATTCAAGTCAGCCACAATCACAGGAATGTGCCTTAAATCTCTCAGTGGATCAGACACTTCATAAAAACTTTTACTTCTCAGATTACTGCTCCTGCAGCCCGTGACTGCCACTTCCCCAGACACCCGGGGACTGACTTTGACCATCCTGGGTGAATTCCTAATGGGAGAGCTGTCTGCTTCCAGAGAAGATAAACACAGCTCCTATCCTTTCAGCACAGAGACTGAAAAATTTCATTTTCATTTTCAGCAAAGAAACTGAAAAATAATGAATGGAGCAGGTTGTTTTTAGAGGAGGAGTTTTCAAGTCAAAACATGATCAAAGCAGGGAGAGGTTTGTATTGCCAGTAAGAATGATTTTTTTCATGCTGTGTGGATGTTTTATATCTCTTAGGTGGGAATATTTAATTGATATAATTTCTTTGTTTTAAGTCTAAAAGGACCCTTAAGGGTCCTGCTTCTGTTTTAAGAGTGAATAGACCCCATGGAATAGACAAATAATTTTGTTTGCTGTATCTGGGCAGCTTTGACATTACCTTTATCATGCTTAGAAATAGTTTGGGTTGGAAGGGACTTTAAAGCTCATCTCATTCCATCCTCTGCCATGGGCAGGGACACCTTCCACTAGCCCAGGTTGCTCCAAGCCCCGTCCAACCTGGCCTTGGACACTTCCAGAATGTCACAGACAGGTGGGAAAAGCAGCCCCCCAGGCTCTGTGGACGCCAGCACCGGTTTAGAAGAGTCTATAAAACTCTCAACTCACAAGGAATGCTTCGTTAAACTCGAAAGAGCAAGGGAACTGCCTCTGGAGCTGATGGACACAGTCCAGCCACTGCAGAAACACCGGGCAGCGCTCGTTCAGGTCATCCGAGTTCTCCCCATGGCCACAGCGATCTGCAAACTTGTGGCCAAAATCCAGCCACTCTGTCTCCACCAGCACCTGGAAACCCTGCAGGAATGAGAGGACAGATGAAGAATTCCTGTTTTCCTTTGGCTCAGTTCTCTAAGATGGTCTGAGACTCATGGGAATCACTTTATTGATGTGCTCTCACTCTCTTATTTCCCTTCAGCACTGGGCTCATTACTTCTCTTTGCTGCTTTAGTGCCTCTGTGCTCTGAAATGAAATTGGGACAGGTATGGATTCCCAAACTACATGAACAGGAAAGGGAATAAGGCAGATTAAGTCCTCAGTGACTGGCAGGGAGGATCCTGATATGAGCCCTATCTCTCCAGGCAGGGGCGAGCAGGAACTTCATCTTGATCAAACCCATCTGGATCATGGTACCCAGCATTTGGACAGGACATTTGAAAGCTTTCCCCTGAAAATGATGGGCAGATCTGCCTGTTAGGAAAGAAAACAATCCACAACAGGACATCCAAGCTCAGGGAGAGCAGGTGTTTGTCTGGTGTACACCAGTCACAAGGCTGATTAAAGGTTCACTTGAGTGATTTCTCATGAAAATGAAAAGGGCAAAGACATTCCCAAACAGTGCCTGGATGAGCAGCTGAATGTGACACCTTGTCTTACAGGACCTGAAATCCATCACAGGGCAGGAAGGTTTCGGTTCTTGGAGGAAAGAAAAATTGTAGAGAATCTTTATTGAGTCAAAGGCTGTGATCAGAGCCAAAATAATGGCTGACAGCTGAGAAATGTGAGACGTGGCAACGCTGAAGACTCATTTTCCTCAACATTTCTGATCCTGGCATAGAAAGCTGCAGTTTATGGTTTCCTCTGGATGACAAGGAAAGCACAGGGTGTGCAGAGCAGAACTCTGCACCCTGAACAGGAGGGACAGCACTCCTTGGAGCACCAGGAGGAGGCTCTGTGCCCAGGCCAGAGCAGCATGTTTTGCCCTGGTGGATGCCAGCTTGTAGAACTCATGTGAGAAAGGATCCAAGAAGTTTCCACACTTCCATCCAAAAGGCTTTGCTGCAGCTCAAGCCTCTGGTCCCTGTGTGAGTGAGGCTTTAAGCAGCAGCTCACAGCAGTGTTCAGACACAGAGTTCTGTTCTGGACAACAAAGGCATCTTGCCCGTGGGCTGGCAGATGGAACCCAGCCAGAACATGTCCCACAGTGCTGCAGAGTGATGGGGGAAAAAATTCAGGCTGAAAAAACAGGAAAATATAACTGACAGAGGACAGGGAAAATGTGAAACTGGAAAGCTATGCACTTGGGAAATCCAGCAAAGAGAAAGGCTTTGTCTGAGTGCTTGGCTGAGAACCTGCAGTGGGGCAATGGAAACTGCAGTTGCAGCACTTTGTACTCCATATTCCTGAGGTAAATCTGGGGAAGCACAGGCCATGACTGTGCAGTTACAGCAAAGGGAATATAATGTGTGAATTCCAGACTGTTCGTCCAGGCTGTGGCTGGTTAACTCCTGCCAGCTTTAGTGCCTTCGTTAGCGGAAAGAACTGCAGTAATTTATAGCCAGGTTTGCTCAGCCAAGGCCCTGAGCTCCCCAGTGCCCTCCCAGAGGGCTCACCCACCTCTGTGGTCCTGTAGTAGGGGTCCAGCAGCAGCTTGGCCAGTGCCACGATCTGGGGGGTGCGGTCCCAGCCGTCGGAGCAGTGCACCAGCACCGGCCGCTGGTCCCGGTCCACGGCGTGAACCACCAGCAGCGCCGACTTCAGGAGCACCGACAAGTGCTGCAGCCACTTGGTGCTCTCCAGAGCTGACAGCCAACTAGAGGAAAACAAGGGAAGACAGTTTTTGCTCTTTTAAAATGCTTTCAGGTTTGGATCTCTGAATCTATCCCGGTGAAGCTGCTGTTTCAATAAGCTGTGAGTGGCACCCGGGAGCAGTTTTCATTTATGTCTCGTTAATGCTCTCCCGGGGTGGAGCAACAAAGCCCCACGTCTGCCCGAGGAACTGCCACTCTGGGATGAGCTGAAGGTCTGGATCCACTTTGAGACCATGGAAGGCTTTAGCAGTGATTTCCAAACAGGTAAGTGGGAGTTTATATGTTTGACTCAGCAAGGGAAAGCTCATCAGCACGTTCCACACTGTTCAGCATTCCCTGAGCACTGTCACCAGCCAGGTTTATGCTCTGGGAACAGCCTTAATTAACAACTCCAGTGTCCTAGTGAAGACCCAAGCTCAGAAGCTTCGGATTTGATGGGCTATTACAGGGTAGGTACCCCATAGCACTGGAGGGGTATGAAATATTCTCTTGAAATGACACTATAAATGAGGGGAACATGGAACATAGCCAGAATTTTCCAGAGAGACAAGATGTGAATATTAAAGAGCTGGGAATAGCATGTCAACCTAAGTGTGAGTGCTTAGAAGCCCACCAGAAGTAGCAACACTGGTATCAACATCCAAAATTACACTGTCATTTCACAACCAGTTCTCTAGGGTCACTTCAATCACAGTAAACCAACGACCTCCATGGCAATGAAAATACACAGCTGAGCATTATCACCCAGGACAGTCACTGGGGAAACCCCACGGAATTGCAGTTTCCAAACCAGCAGCAGCAGAACGTGGCTGCAGAAACACTGTCACCCAAGGCCCAAACATCCACTTACTTTCCTGGATCTGGCATTTGTGTGCAGAGCAGACGCAGGGACTGAAAGCTCTTCCGGATGGAATGGATGTTTGCCATCCCCATGAACACCACCTCACAGTTGGGGTAATACTCTGCAGGGAGAGGGCAAGAAAGAGGGAAGAAACTAAACAACTGCATTTCTAAAAGAAGCTTTTTTTCATCAAAACAAGCCCCTGTTGCTGTGGACAGATGAAATAATCTGTTTGTGGCTATTCTGTAAGGACACAGCAGCCCTTGGAGCTTGGTGGGTATTCCAGGCATGACACCACAGCCCAGCAAAACAGGAAGCATTTACCAAAGTCCTGCTGTATTTACTCACAATGTTTCACTCCAGGTTACAAAAAGCAGAGTGCAAACCTATGGGGATAGGGACATTCCTGTGCTCCAGGTCCCAGAGTGTCTGTAAAGACTGAGAAATATCATCAGATGCGGAGCATAAATAATATTTAACTGGTAATTTATGGATGTCAGTCATAGATGGCTTTTCCTAAGCACTCGGAAAGGCTGAAAGGTCACTCCATCCACTGCTTTCTTCTGAGGGGAATTTTATGAGGAAGCATCACATGTGTGAGAAATACTGGAAGTTCAGGAAAACAGAAGATCTATGGAATTACTTTGGATGTTGCTATGGGATGTGCTCATGTGCAGACAGGGTCACAGCTCAGGGGGGCACCCAAGGAGAGCCAGAAAAACACCAGTTCCATGGTTTTCCCAGATTTAGTTTTGATGTTTCTGTCTGCACAAAAATGGTGACACAATAGCTAAAATGACTGTTTCTACAGGAGAAAAATAATCAGGATGCAGAATCTGAGATACTGAGTGCTTGCACAGGGAAATGCAGGAGTCTGAGCATGTTTTGTATCATTTGATTTCCCAACTCTTTATCAGCCCAACAGCTGCTGACCCGAAGAGAACATCCTGTTAGCAATGGACTCTGTAACTACAGCCACAGATTGCACAAGACAATTTCAGCATTTTTTGGTCTTTTCACTGAGTTATGTTATATCTAAAATAAAGCACAGCATAAATGAGCTATTTTTATACAGAGAATGAAGCAAACTTGGCAATACCTGCAGAAAACTTAGCAGTAGAAAGCAATACAAGTATTTATTGAAGATGACAAGCTGTTTGAAAATCTTCTACACAGAATTCAAGAACCAACATACAATAAAATCAAACTTCCTGTAGACTCTGCTTTTCTGGTTCGAAATTTTACTCTCTCATAAAGAATTATTTAGTAATTTTGAGGTTTTAAATGGAAACTTCATCTTTCCTTACTGGTGGCTGCATAAAGTGCAGCTACTGCAGCAAAGACCAAAACAAGAACACACGGTCAAAAGAGATTTTGTTATCTTATCTCTAGTTTTTCTGTCTGGCATTTTTTTCCAGACTCTCCACCCATGGAATTTTAACAGGCTGCATTCATACCCAGTAGTGACCATAAATAACACCTTGTTTATAAAAGCACCAAGGCACAAGTACCAAAGAACACGAAGTGGTGTTGCAAATGTATTACACATGCAAGGTGAAGCAGGATTGCAGTTGGTTATGATATAAATGCTGAAAAATGTTTCAGCTTTAGAAAAATTGCTGAAAAGCTGTATTTTGCACTACCATTCTAGAGTATTATTATTCTCTGCAGTCAGTGGGTTTTACAAGTTCAGGGCTTTTAGCCATGAGCACACTGGACACCTTTGTCTCTCTCTAGTTTATATATTTGACTCAGCAAGGGAGAGCTCATCAGCATGTTCCACACAGTTCAGCATTTACTGAGCTCTGTCACCAGCTGGGTTTATGCTCTGGGAACAGCCTTAATTAACAGCTAAACCTGCCCTTTGGAAGGGCTGGTGGTGGCTGCTACGATCCAGAACATTCAGACAGATGAACAGCCCCCCATCCCCACGGTCAGTTAAACAGGCAGTCCTGAAGGGGATCAGTGCAATTCCATTGGAGCACACCCTTTGGATTAACTGAATGGAAAGCAGAAGAAGTGCTGCTCACCTGGGCACTCACAGCCTCCCCCCTTGGCTCTGTTGGCCACGGCTGCCGCGTACGATCGCGCGTCCAAGATCAAAAGCTTCTGGGGCTGAATTGCCAAACTCTCTGCTCCCGAGGCATTGGAGATGGAGGAGTCTGGCAGGGAGGAGATGCAACTGGTGAGGAACTCAAAGGATACTTCTGACCTTGGTCACAACACGATTCACTCAGTCCCACAGTGCACATGCACACAGTAACTGGAGAATGCCTGACTGAACACAATGGATACAGCCTGTTCCAGCACGGGAGATTAAGCTTTTACATAAAGCTCTGCCTCTCACAGAAAAGCAACAGGGACAGACTTACCAAACTCCACATCAGAGAGGTCCCCTCCATTGGAGAAATCTCTGGAACAATTCCCATTCATCAATTTGTTGCTGTTGGACCTCGAGTCCGAGGCGCAGGCCTTGGCCACGGACTGGACGAGGTGCTCGTCGTCGGCGTTCCTCCAGCCCCACCAGCTGACCTCGGGCTGCCCACAGCGGGAGATCACTGCCCCATTGCTCTGGTGCCTGGAAAGGGAAGGAAGAACAAAACCAACAGTGCATAAGTTGAAGGATTAGGATGAAAAGGACCCAGAGGGCACAAAAACTTCATTGGTGTGCCGCAGTATCTTAATTCCCACTGGGGACCTTGCCACTGTCCAGCAGTTATCCAACCTGGGAGTCAGTGGCAGCGTATTCCAGGTGCTTCCCTTCCCAATGCTGACTGAGAACACAGTCACTCAAAGGGGAAAGTCAAAGCAAGGTCAGGAAGAGAAAACAAAGCATCTTCTTGCTCAATATTGTAGCCTGTTGGTCAGTGAAGGCTGGGGAGTGTTTTGGAACAGCAGGTGAGGCATTCCAGAGGAATTCAACACCTGCTGGATGGCAGATAAATGAGGAACACCCCAACCTGAACATGGCTCTCACCTCCTGGGGAGTGACATTAAAAAAATCACATTTTTTTACATGTCTGAAAAGTTATTTCCTTAAAGACCCAGCTTCTTGTACTACACATAAAGAACAGATCTGAAATAATTAAAACTCATCGAACCACTGCAAGCGTGACCTGAAAAAGATTTAAAAACTCTGCTCTACAATCTATTACAAAAAGAGGACTGAAACATCTGATCACTAATTCCACTTGCTGCCTCTGTGCTGGCACATCCCACTGCTGCCACCAGCTCTGAGATTCCCCATTCACTGAAGCGTTTGCAGCTGGGAGTAACAACCTTCTCCTTGACCTTGCCCAGCAGCCCCTGAGTTCAGGGAGCTCAGCCCTGGACCAAGGAAGCCCATCTATGGGTCCAGAGGGAGCAGCCAGAGCAGCAGAGACACAACTTCTCTGAGGCCACACAGTGAGGCAACAATGCTGAGAGCAGGACACCCAGAGATGTTCACTCCCTGCCTCATGTCCCAGCTGAAACATCCCCCCACACATCCACACACTGTGCTTCTCTCTTTAAATGGCCTGCAGATCACAGGATCCTGGAATGGTTTGGATGTGAAGGGACTTTAAAGCTCAT